AAAAAGGGATTGTGAGAGTGAATATTAGGAAAAACTTAATTAGCTGTGGAAATGTCAGCCAAGGGAAGTTGTGAAATTTCCATTGCTTTAGAATCTTTAAAACTAGACCGGACAAAGCCCTAGAGAAAAGCACATGCATCTCTATCACTCATGAGCAATGTGGTCATGCTGGACTTTTGGCTTTAAACTTTACAGCATAGCATGAGAGTAATTTTTTGAAACCTAAAAATCAACAGAGCTTGGAAACAGCTGGCATAATGGCACTTCTATTTTTTTCCTCCAAAATCTCTGACTTAATTAAAAAAAAAAGGGGGTGGGGGTGGAGGTTTGTCTTCATAGGAAGTTATACCAGTATAAGTAAGGCTAAGATTTAGACATGGGTATTTTTAGTAAAAGTCATGGACAGGTCATGGGCAATAAACAAAAATTCATGGCCCTGGCCTGTCCATGACTTTTACTATAAATGTCCCTCATTAAATCTTAGCTGCTCCTGGGGTACCGATGCAATGAGGGCCAGTGGCTGGCCCATGCTCCGGCAGTGGGGGCTGACTGCCCCTGGCCATCCGCTGCTCTGAGGCCCCTGGGGACCGCTGCTCTGCCAGCGGCCCCTGGGACCGCTGCTGCTTCGGTGGCTCTTGGGGCCAGCCACACCGGCTGCTTCAGGTACAAAAGTCACGTAGGTTCCAGAAAATCACGGAATCCGTGACTTCTGTGACCGCCGTGACAGACTCTCACCCTTAAGTATAAGGTATGTATGGTGTGTGAATTAAAAGCACTATATTTATATTGGTATAATTCCTCATGTGGACACACTTATTCCAGTAAATTTCCCAGAGTAGAAAAGCCCTTATTAACGATTTCATTCTTCATGGAAGAAAGGAGAGGAAGTTGTCACAGATCTGCACAATTTACTATGAATTAAGTCTCATTTTTGGTGCCACAAGTGAGATGGCGTTTGGAAGAAGCCACCACATTTTTTTCCTCAGTCAAGAAGGAACCTATGACAGCCCATATGTATTTAAGCTCCAGTGAGAGGGAGTCTAGCTCAAGGGACCCAGTGGAGCCAAATGGCACACATGATCACAACTTGAACATCTGCACAATCTAGTGTGAGCTGTTTCTCATTCTGCTGACTCCCATGGGCAAGGCTTACTTTGTGGCCAGAGCTTGGAAGTTCCACCATTCCCCCCCCCACATCTGACTCTTGAAAAGCACACAACAGTCTGCAGAAACTATTCATTAAAATTTCCCTCAGATGTTTAGTTTCTAAGCATTAAAAAAATTATTTGTTTCAGAATAATTAAAAATAAAACATCACACCCCTTTCCACTGGAGTTGAGTTCATTTTTAAACAATGCAGTCAACTGTCTAGCCCAGGGGTGGCCAACCTGTGGCTCCGGAGCCACATGCGGCTCTTCAGAAGTTAATATGCGGCTCCTTATATAGGCACCGACTCTGGGGCTGGAGCTACAGGCGCCAACTTTCCAATGTGCCGGGGGGTGCTCACTGCTCAACCCCTGGCTCTGCCACAGGCCCTGCCCCCACTCCACCGCTTCCTACCCCCTCCCCTAAGCCTGCCGTGCCCTCACTCCTTCCCCTCCCCCGCAGAGCCTCCTGCACACCATGAAACAGCTGATTGGGAGGTACAGGGAGGGAGGGGGAGGTGCTGATTGGCGGGGCTGCCGGTGGGTGGGAGGCGCTAGGAGCTGGGGTGGGGGGGCTACTGACGTATTACTGTGGCTCTTTGGCAATGTACATTGGTAAATTCTGGCTCCCTCTCAGGCTCAGGTTGGCCACCCCTGGTCTAGCCCATCTGTTTCAATGGTTCTGCTGTCTGTGAGAGCAGTTTCCCTGAAAGCAACTATTGACTGTATGGCAGATAGATATTAATTATTATTATTATTATCATTTGTATTACAGTAGTGGCTAGGGAAGCCAATCCTGAATCAGGGTCCCATTGTGATAGACATTGTACAAACACATAACAGTGAGACTATCCTTCCTTTCACTGAAGATCTTACAATCTAAGGCCAGGTCTACACTAGAAATTTTTGCTGGTATAGCGATGTTAGCTAGGAATGTGGGGTTTTTACAACATTTCTATACCAGCAAAAACCCTCATTATGGCAGCATAAAAGTGCTTTTGCCAGTATAGCTTATTTTGCTCAGGGGAGTACAGTAGTATAAGCTATATTGGCAAAAGCCCTTTTTTGCTGGTATAAGCTGTGTCTACACTAGGAGGGTTTTCCAATACTGCTATACCAGCAACATTTTTAACTGTAGACTGCGCCTAGGTAAAAATGATTGAAAGTAAAGTGAACGAGTTGACATAACCCAGAGGGATGAATCCCGAAGATGTGATATGTTTTTGCAATGGCTTAAAATTTTAAAGTCCTGTCTACCTCCAGTTTTAACTAATGACTGATGTAGAGTGTCCTATTTGATGCCATCCTATGTTGTAGTATTGCAAGGAAACTCTCTTTTACCTATAGTATAGGGTCTTATATAACACATACTTAAGCAGTAGAGTGCAATACTGTAGAGGGCATCCAGTAGAGGGCAATACTGACAAATACATACAGCATTCTTGTAATACCACCCTGTATTTCAAGACATTAATGTTATGGTTAATAATTATAGCGGTTAGGGGACTAGTCTAGGACTTGGGAGATCCAGGTTCAATTCTCTCCTCTGTCACAGACTTCTTATGTGACTATGGGCAAATCACTTAGTCTCTCTTCCCCACCTGTAAAGTAAGAGTAGGGTGACCAGATAGAAAGTATGAAAAATCAGGATGGGGGTGGGGAGTAATAGGCGCCAATATAAGAAAAAGCCCTGAATATCAGGACTGTCCCTATAAAATCGGGACATCTCATCCTAAATAAGGGTAATAGCACTTCCCTACCTTACAGGGATGTTGAGAGGATAAATACACTGAAGATTGTGAAGTGCTTTAAGATCTACCGATGAAAAGTGCTATATAAGAAATAGGCATTATCATCATTGCAATTATTCTTCAAGTCACATCAAAAAGATGGTCAATTTTACTCTAAGCTTTCATTTCATTTCATTACTCTGATTAACTCTGAGCTTTCATTTAACCCACAGGGACTTCAGATCTGTATTCTATACACTTTCAGATCACCAATCTTCAAGAAAAAGGTTACTGAGCTGTTTTCCTATGTCTCACTGCCAGATATACCGATTTCCCTGCATTCAAAGACTTATTATCTTTTAAAATTCCGTTATAAAAAACACACATACGAGAACTTCAAACCATCTGAGACCTTTTCAGAGGAAATGTCCTTTTCCAGCAGTGATCAGACACCTACGAAGAATTAAAAAGTAAAATCACAGCTTTCTGAGTTTGTTCTAGATAGAGATCATTGGTGTTTTGACTGACATGACCACCACTCTTGGAACAAGCACTGGGCACAGATCAGAAGACAGTAGGACAGCTCCCAAAAATGTAAGGCAGGATAACAGCTGTGAAGAGCTTATATGTGGCACTTTAATTGTACACAACTAAGAAAGTTCTTACAAGGAAAGTTGAAGGTCATTACAATATTGCACAAAATAGAAGGGCGTCTGTCTGACTTAGTCATGTCTGTCTGTTCTCCCAGATATATCTATTCCTGGCCTATCTAATATGCTCTGTCCAAAGGTAGTCCTCTTTTCCCTTTCATAAGTAATTCCTGTTTAACTAAAGAACATAAGCAAAAAAAAAAAAAAAATAAACAGTAGAGTTCTTATTAGCTCTGTTTCCATATTCTAAATCACTATTTGACTGTCTTTTAGAAAAAGATCTTTATTTTAGAGTTGCCTATTGAGCTTCCCTGCTAGAAGCTTTTTAGGATAAACTGCTGCGATAAATGCTATAAAATGATGTCTGACTCCATGTGGTAGAATGAACAAATAAATTAGTGTGATGAAGTTATTGCTATTTGTTGTGAGTATGTAATATGGTCAGTTTATAATGGAAGAAACTTAAAATCAAATGAGAAGAAGCAGATGATGTGAAAGGGTCCTGGGGAGAAGTGTCTGGATGTTCAAGTCAAGAATGGGGACAGCATGAACAGCAGATTATTCTTTAGGAAAGAAGCATTGTCTAGTCTAGTGACCTGAGCAGAGGATTGGGGGCCAGGAGCTCCAGTGTTCTAATCCTAGCTCTGACACTGACTCACTCTGTGGCCTTGAGAAAAACTCAGGTGTGCTATAGTCAGTTCCTTATCTGTAAAATGGGGTTGATAATAATATTGACCCTCCAATCCTATACAGTGTGTTGGGGGAAGTCTGTGAGAATTAGATAGTTCCTGGATAAAAAGAGAATATCTTTGCCTGATTCAACAGGCCCTGATATAGAACATTGGTATGATTAGCCATTTCTGGTGTTAACAAAAGAATGCTTGTGTTAAAGGTTAAATAGAAGTCTGACCTTAAACAATTTGTACACTTCTCCCCCCCCCTTCCCTCTTGGTTTTTAATCAAACTAAAGTGAAACGAACATGATGGCATGGTTTGCAAACTCCCAAGCTGCCTTGTATAGGATAGCAGTCTTGATCCAATATGACGATCTGAACCTTGGTGGGTAACCTTTGGTGATACGCAGAACCATGCCTTGATGGAAGTCTTTAAAAAGACTGGTTTCAGAGTGGTAGCTGTGTTAGTTTATATCAGCAAAAAGAACGAGGAGTACTTGTGGCACCTTAGAGACTAACAAATTTATTTGGGCATAAGCTTTCGTGGGCTAAAACCCACTTCATCAGATGCATGCAGTGGAAAATACAGTAGGAAGATATATATATATATATATATACAGAGAACATGAAAAAATGGGGGTTGCCATACCAACTGTAATAGACTAATCAATTAAGGTAGGCTATTATCAGCAGGAGAAAAAAGAACTTTTGTAGTGATAATCAGGATGGCCCATTTCAAACAGTTGACAAGAAGCTGTGAGTAACAGTAGGGGAAAATTAGCATGGGAAAATAGTTTTTAGTTTGTGTAATGACAAAAGACCATACACCTGTACACATCCTGTGACAGAAAATTCTGAAATAGAGCTCAGCCAATAACAAAGAGAGGGGTCTTTTGGCCTGAAAACCTCTCCAGCCTCCAGAAAACCATAGTCTTGGTGGGAGGGAGAAGGTAGACATCTCCTTTAGATTGTGGATTCTTTAAACAAAAGCAGTTATGTCAGATATGAAACTGGAACCCACTATCACTACTAGAAGGAAGGTGGTGAGGAGCACTTAAACTGCAAGGTAGTTGTCCACATTGTACTATCATGCATACACTCCATCACACTCCCTATGGACAAGACACTTTAATTTTCTGTGTATATGTTTCCCCAACTGTAAAAGGAGGTCCTTAGTACCTAGTGTTGTAAATCCCTTTGATATCATTGGAAGAAGGGTGCTCTGTACAGCAAATTATTATTATTATTATTGCAGAAAATATTTGTTTTTACTGAAAGCCATGTAAAGCACACTCATACAGTGGTGATTGGTCTTTATGATGAGTGTAAAATACTGCTCAAGCTTTGTTCAAATTTATTTCATTTTTTTTGGACAAAAGTGTAGTTATTCTATAGAATGACATCAGATAAATTTTGCATTGTACATTTGAGATTAGATTATACAAATAATTTCCCTCTCTTTATAGACCTCAAAAATTAACAACCCCCCCCAAAAGAATGGGCATGATTCCTTCTGTTCAAGGTATTGGCTTTGGTATTGATGCATACTGGACACATTGTAGCTAGAGACCTGCAGCGTTGAATGAAGTATTGCAACAATTTGTATTGAACTCTTTGGACCCTCCTCACAGTAGCACAATAACCATTTTCAACTCCCCGAAAGATGGCGGGGGGTCAATGTTTTTGAACCCAAAGTTTATTCTTTTTAAAAATCTTTTCTTAGCAGCGTGTGTTTAAGCGCAATAGTTCAACTCTTATCTACACGTGGAACACAGTGATCTTACTAATGGTGCTGAACTTTGATATTCTCTACACTGTGGATGTTAAAGAGGTAAAGTTTCTTGCTGGAAACTAACAGGAAGTGCTGCATCCATAAAAGCCACCAGTTTGGGGGGAAGGGCTGAATGATCTGACCAAAGGTATGAAAAATGAGGGAGGGAGAGAGTCTGACTAGAAGAGAACGAGCGTGTATGTGCGTCTGGTGGTGTTGAACAACAAAAGAGGTGTGACCTATGTTTGGTATTGGAAATCTATATTTTCTAACATTTTTTCAGGGGAAACCATCTGGACTACCAATCTTCTCTTATTAAGTAACATTTAGAATTGAAAACCTATAGCAAATTTAACTTATTTTTTAAACACCTTTCCTACTTCCTCCCCATTTCAATCTAAGTGACTTGCAGTCCCAGTGGCTCCCTATTACTCTGCTACTAGGGTTTTACTGTTAGACCCTGCTGAGAGCTGGTCTGGTCTACACCTAAAACTTTGGTCAACCTAGTTACATAGCACAAGGCTGTGAAAAATTTCACACCCTGAGCGCCGTTATTTAAGTCAACCTAACCCCCACTGTAGATGCAGCTAGGTTGACAGAAGAATTCTCCTTGCTACTGTCTCTAAAACTTCTGTTGCTGTAGCAAGTGCCTGAGTCTGCTCCATGGCACTAGAGCAACGTATTGTAACATGGCAGGCACAGTGGAACGGGGAAGGTGGGAGGGGTGGTTTAGTCTGGTATCAGATGGTGTACACCACAATGGAGAGTATGTGCTGCCCGCTGCTGGTGTGGCCACGCTATGTAACCTGACATGTTACAGTATGTGGCTCTAGTGCATGGGTTCTCAAACTGGGGGTTGTGACCCCTCAGGGGGTCATGAGGTTATTACCTGGGGGGTCACGGACTGTCAGCCTCCACCCCAAGCCCTGCTTCACCTCCAGCATTTATAATTGTGTTAAATATAAAAAAAAGTGGTTTTAATTTATAAGGGGGGGCAGTTGCACTCAGAAGCTTGCTGTGTGAAAGGGGCCACCACTACAAAAGTTTGAGAACCACTGCTCTAGTACCATGGAGCAGACTCAGACACACACTGTGCATGCAAGGTCACACTTGGGTCCCATGCCATTCTGGGCAGTACTAGGATGTCTGGTATTTTGGGAATGCAGGAGTGGCCACCCTATCTCCTTCCCAGCCTTGGGCTAGCTGCCTCCTCCGCTGTCCACTCCTCAGCCAGGTCTCAGTACCCCCCGAGCTGTTTCTTTGTGACAAGTCTGTACAGCACCCAGCACAGAGGCCGCGCCTCTCCACATCACTGTGGCACAATCAGCGCTATGGGACACTTCCCTTGCTACACACACACCGCCCCTGTGGCAGCTGGTGCGGCGCATGCGTGGAACCCGCCATTGCTCGCTCTGCTTAAGGGACGCCGCAGCTTCGACTGGCGGCGGCGGCGGCGGGGTTTTCTTACTAGGCATGCGCACTACTGCCCTAGCCGTCGCCGTACCAGCGCATGCGTAAAGCTAAGGCCGGCTCTGCTGTGAATGGGAGCCTTAGATCACTGACTGCGCACGCGCGGCCTCCTCCGTCTGGTCTGGCCTGCTCCGGCGCTTCGCTCCATCAGTGCGCGCGCGCCGTTCGGCCGCCATCAGCTTCCGTCGGGGCGAGTGCGCCTGCGCGACGGCCCGGCAGTGGCACCAGCCGAGATCCAGCCCTTCTCCCCTGCCACGTACGGGCGGCGGCGGCGGCAGCGGGATCGGGCGGGACGGAGCCGCGGCCTCTACGCACGTGCCACCGCACGCGGAGGAGAAGCCGGAGTAAGCGGCGGGGAGCGGGGCGAGGCGAGCCGGCGCCGCCTGGGCTGAATGGGGGCGGGGGCGCGCGAGGGGACGCGGCTCGGGCCCCTCCCCCATGGGGTCGGGGGGGGGAGACCCCTGTAAACTATCCCCCAGTTCCCCGGGGACTCGGCCCCTCCCCCGCCGGGAGCCCCAGCGCAGGGGGTGTTACTGCCCAGTCCCCCCCCCCCGGCCCGGGGGGGCCGCCCCCCCCCCCCCCCCAGCACAGCCCGAAGTAGCGCTGCGGGGCGAATGGCCTTGGCTGCTGCTCCTGGGATCAGGCCCGCTGGAGGAGGGGAAAGAGGAGCCGGCTGCGGCCCCCCCTCAAATCCCTGTGAAGTTCACGTGCATCTGGTCAGTTTTACTTCTCCAGAGCCCAGGAGCAGCTGTGGGGCTGGCCCCGTTCTTAGGGCCTGTCTACACGGGAGTAGAGCACTGTATTCCTGTCTGGCCTGATCCACTGCCTCACGCTCATTCAGAATCAGGCACTCTTAGACCTGGTCTACACTTAAAAATTAGATCAAACCAGCTACCTCACTGAGGGTTGCAAAAAATTTTGCACCCTGAGTGACGCAGTTAGGGTCACCCCTAACCCCTGGTGTAGACGTGATGTCTCTCAGAAAGGTGGATTAACTATATCACCAGAATCATAGCAACTAAATCATCCCAGCCAGGGCTTTGTCAAGCCTGACCTTAAAACCTCTAAGGAAGGAGATTCCACCACCTCCCTAGGTAACCCATTCCAGTAACATCATAGTTCCTTGACTGTGCCAGGGCTTCCAGTTTTCCCGGCTTGTTTCCCAGTCTTCTTGTATTTGTGTATAGGCACTTAAGATAACTCGCTGATCGTCTTGCTTTTTCAGTATGAGGCAGGAGTCCTCCCCTCTTGTGCTCTCCTGCTCGTGCTTCCTCCCGGTATCTCATTTCCCCACTTACCTCAGGGCTTTGGTCTCCTTCCCCTG